AAAAAAGGTATACTACCATTTCAGTCTTCCTTGGCTTACCTGGCCAGTGATATTCTCTGAAATACAAACACCTTCTAGAAGGGACTAGAGAAACACAGTCCTGCACCAGCTGGTCTGAAGTTTGCCCAGGATTTTTCCTCTGCCGCTTTCTAGAGACAGCTTTCTGCATTTCACGGAGGCTTCTCCACAGAAAGGATATTTCCTGAGTACAGCTTGGCTGCCTGAAATGAGTCAGATCTGCTCAGGTGTGTTGTCGACATCATCAAATTCATCTTCTGCTGTATCTCAGCATCTGTTCGGGGGTCCTTTCTCTCCCTCAAGGAAACATGGCTCTTTCTCTTAGGGGTCCTCAGTTTCATGAGCTAGACCATCTTATTTATTGCTTGCAATTAGACCAACAAGTACCTTTACCAGCCTTCCACTCCATGGGTTTTGTCTTCCCCTAACTAGAAGCTTTAAGTGGAGGTTGCTGATTATAGCCTGTTGTGAACACCCTAGAGCCAGGAACCATGCTTTGCATACACTTTTTAGGTTATTAGCTCCGAGATTCCTGGAAGTTATAACCAGTTTTAAAAACTTGCATCACCTTTGAATATCCAAATAAATAATGGCTGTTCAATCAGCTTGAATAAAAAACAGAATCAGTTCCTTTACATTTTAGGAAAAGAAGACACATGTTGAAACAAAGAAGTACAGATATTCTGAGATCTGAGACTGGATAACTGAGCTGCAGGAAAAAGTAGTAAAGGAGAAAGATAGAAGAGAGAAGACTGAAACAAAGGGAATGAAGAAGGCAGAGGAACACAGAGGAAGTCTGCGTGCTAACCAAGCACTGCAGGGTTGAAATCCAGCCTCGTTAGGAAGCAGCTATTTCTCACAGCAAGTGCCCCCCGAAGAAGAAAATAAACCAGCAAATGAAAATAACAGGAATATAAATCATTTAGCCAGTACTTATGGAGACTTTATTCCATATTAGACTTCCGTATATATCACATCAGGATTAGTGTTAGCTCCCTGAGATGAAACATCAATAAGAGGACCACATGGTGCTGACTGTACCTCCAACTCATATTTTAGTTCAGCTTTAATTATCATGTTCATCTGGCAGCAGCATGGTGCCACGTAAATAGAAATGGGTCATGGGAGGCCCGAGTTCTTGTCCTGGCTTATCATTACGTGACCTTGGTTGGCCAATCTCTGTGTTTTGATTTCCTCATTTGTCAAATGTGACTAAATATTCCCTGGTCTGTGTGTGTTTCACAAGAGTGTTAGGAGAATGGAGAGTGGAAGAGATAAACACACACAGACACACACACACATACTTGGATGAGTACAAAATACCAGACAAATATAAAATCGACCTTGTTCTTTTTACTTAAGGTGGTGGGTAGGCGAGGGGTGGAGACGATGGCATTTTGTACAGAAGGCTTGGTGACTCAGTGAAGTGTCTTTTTTCCCCCCTCAGTAATATCTGGTCTAGAATTATTGCAGCTTTCTCGATGTTTTCAGATATACTTTCCCCCTTCAGAAATGCCAAAGGTGAAAAATACTATTCCATTGCTATCATTTGTCACCTTTGCTGCCTGAGTAAGACATGCATAGACAGTTTAGTAATTAAGCTTTTCAACACTGCATCATAAAGTTTTATTTCTGCAAAGACTTTATTTATCAGCTAACAAGTATTAAATCATTCCACTGCTCAAGCCGTTTCTCACTTAAATATGCTCCCTTCAAAATAGAGCAGCTTTCCTTGGCTGACTTGATTAAGAAAAGTATTTGTTTGGAAATATTATAGTGTTGTGTGGTCCTGTAAGGCTGACACACACACACCGTGGAAACTGTTCCAAAGGGCACTGACCCCTATTTCCTGGGGAAGGGAGGCCCTGATGCCTTGGCCCTGTGGTCTCTCAGGGTAGCCTGTCCATCAGAGGTCCATGGCCCTCTGGGAAGGTTTCCAGCTCAAGATATTCCCACAACTACTTCATTTCTAAAGTGGAAGGGGTAAATAAAACACAAGCATTGAGACATTTTCTTTCCTTATTTGAACATCAGTGTATTGGTCCATTTTTATCAAAGACAGATCTAAATGTAAAATGAATTTTAAAACTGATTAAACTAACAAAGTGACAATGATTTGCATAGTCATCCAGGTTGAATCTTTTCTCATATTGCCATAACTTCTCAAAACAGGTGCAGTTTTTTTTGAAAACATTTAGAATGAATAGACATGAATAGATATTGAAAGATAGTAAAAGTAATTAAAGATATTAATAGTAATGACCTAGAAGAGTCCAGTCTGTAAGTAACCTATTCCACCTTTCTAAAGAATTCTCTTTGGAGGATACAAATTCATGAGACAAATACAACATTGTTAAAATTTCAAGATGAGGCCCTCCCTGGTGGCGCAG